AGGTCAGAACAGCGTCCCTTGGTGTTGTACCCTCTTCCTTGCTGTATAGTATTCCACTGAGGAATTGCCTCAAGGTGCAGTCATCTCTCCCCGCATTGGCACTACGAACAGTAGCGCAGTAGTCATCTTTTGTGCAGATCTCCATTTGCAATGATGAAGCATTTTTCTAGACTGGACATGTAGGAAGGAAATGTCTGGTCCCAGAGTCAGTGTGTCAGTCAGTTTCAACTAGTTATTGTCTAATTGTTCTCCAAACCCTTTTCACTTCTCCTGCAGTGATGAAAGATTTTTCTACATTCCTGTCAACATTTGGGGTCAGTGTTTTTTCATCTTTGCCTATTCGGTGTGAAAAAGGTGTGAAATGGTACCTGGTAGTTTTAATTTTCATTTTCCTGATCACGGTTGAGGTCCAGCACACACATGCATGCCTTCTTTTTCCCTTGTGGTGACTTTTCTCCTGACGCTGCTATTAGAGGTTACTGCCTCTACCTGTTTTGAAGCATGAAGACCTGGGCATTGAAACCCGACAACTAAAATTTGGTGTCTTGTCTGAAATTACAGGATGTTCCTCAGGCCTCCATGTTTCCATGGGAACAAGTAACAATCATCCTTCATGATTAGGTGGTGTCCATGGCAACCAAGCCAGCAGCATTTGAATGAAACTGATTTTATTTTATTTATTTTTTGCAAACACGTGAAGGTTAAAATGTGTTTCTCTGGCTGTGGTTTCCAAGAATAGGAAGGCAGCTTGGCCTTCCGGGTACAGTGGAGACTCTTTTGACCTCTTAGTGAAAAGGGGATCCAGGATCAGCTGGTTCTGTGACCTGATTTTGCAGATTGCAGCCTGGGAGGTCATGTGGAGGTCACATAGTGAGTCTGAGCTGAGGGGAGACTCCTCGACCAGTGCTGCAATGTCTTGGGGAGACTACGAGGTCGGCCAGCCAGTTCTCCCTTCCTAGGATCTGTCCCTGGGGGTGCCACCTTCATGCTGTACCATCTGTGTATATACCTGTGGGAGCATGAGGCCCAAGCCTCTCAGTGTCTGCCTCCCCAAGTTAGAAAAGACAAGTTGCTGAAACAAGGGCCAAAGGCAGCTGTGTTTTTTCAAAGCTAAATCCCTGGAGGCAGAGTTAGGACTCAGGGATCCACTTCCCGACTTCTTTGCCCGTGTCAAATAAAGAAGGTTTTGTTTTGGTTGTGGTGGCGGGAAATGGAGATGGTCGCTGCTCTGACTCCCCTGATCACTGCACTGCTGAGAAATTGTGAGCTCAGAGACGGAAAGGGCATGGCCTGGAGGCACACAGCAGAGCTGGGGTTGAATCCTGTCTTCTCATCCAACCTTCGGCTCCTCCCCACACCCCTGCTCCAGGCTCGCTCAGCCTTCTCTGAGGCCTAAATGTGGGTTTGGGGTGGGGACAGTTTAAGGGGATATCAGCATGTACTCTTACTTCCTACCCGGGGGATCTTTAGTGGAAGTCACTTGCCTCTCAGCACCTCAGTTTCCTCATCTGGAAAATGGAGCTCATCATGGCTGTTCATTTGTCATGTGGGGGTTATAGTTGAATGGGTCCAGAACTTGCATTCTCAAAGGGGGCAATATTGAGTGGGCAAAAAATTGGTTCTTGGAGCGGGGCGGTGACAAAAATTTAACTCTTTTTCTGTATAAAGCTCAATATATGTGCAGTGCATAAAAGTTACTTTCTATATATGTGATATGACATTTTTAGGGGGGGGAAACTAGGGAAAATGTCTTTAAAAAGACTCATTAGGGGGAAAGATAATGAATAAGAGGTAAGGAAACGCTGGCCCAGAACCCAGGGACCCATGAGGTTATGACTATGAACTTTGTGGTTAGAGCTCATGGCAGGCTTGCGAGAATTGTCCGGTGTGTTTGGTGTGTTGGTGAATAGCAGAGCCCCTGATATTCAGTGTGACCACATCGCAGCTTCTCTCAGGCCTGGTTTCCTGTCCAGACGGAAAGGAGGTTCCATCAGCTGCACGAATGGGGACTGGTTGGTTCTCAGCCGCTGAGATGGCGCCTGGTGGCTCGGTGGGGGTCCAGCAGGAAGCAGATGGCACTTACACTAGGATGATTTGAGGTGTGGGCGGGTGTGGGGAACCGTGAAGAGGAGTGCAGGACCCCAGAGCTAGTGACAGCCGGGGCTGATCCATCCAGGCCCTGAGGGAGGGGAGAGCCGGGGAAACGCAGTCATTGTGGTAGCTGGGACTTCACTGGAGGGAGCCAGCCGCCCAGGTGCCTCTCCTCCCTCCCCTGATCCCCCACCAGCGTTTCCCATTGGCCAGACAGACCCCATGAAGCTTGGCTGGTGTGGTCTGCACAGGTCAGCAGCCCCTGGAGCAGAAGGCAGGATAGAGAAGGATGGAGAATGGAGCTGGGGCCAAGCAGAAGCTGCCTGGAAAGGGACTAAGGATCTCCTTCATTTCCTCTGGAGTGCAGGCCCTGCCCTGAGGCCTCCTCGCTGCCTTTCTACCTCTTGATATAGATGGGCTTGCATTGAAGTTTAAGGCCATTTGGCAAGTCCCTGAGATGATCCTTGCTATAGACCTAATGGGTTAGGGGCTCATGGGCAAGTTCCTCTCCTCTGGTCTCAGCTTCCTCACTGGTAAGATGGATGGTTGGACCAAGCCATCTCTGAGAACCCAGGTTGTGGGCACATCGGACTTGTCTCAGAGGAGAGGCAGCTTTGCTGGGCTCCTCATGTTCTACTGGGTGACTCCTTGTGTCTCCTGGCTAGAGCCATGAGGACCTGCCTGCCCAGGATGGGGTAGTGTGACCGTGTGTGTGTGTGTGTGTGTGTGTGTGTGTGTGTGTGTGTGTGTTGGTGATAGGAAGGGAGCTCCTAAGAGGCTTCTGGAGGCTGAGCATAGTGCCTCACTCATGGGTAGGACACCGTGGCTATGGAGGTGACTGAGGTGGGGTGTTGTGGTGGGGGAGAGGTGAAGGCTGACTTGTGAGCATGGGAAGAGATTTCCTAGGAAAATCCCAGGAAAAGGGGGTGTTCCCTAAAGTGAGAGGAGCAGGGATCCCAGAGGAAAAGTTAGGAAGGATCTAATTAGGGAGCACAATAAGAGAAGGGGTCACCGGGCTGAGAAGGGGTCGTGGTGAACCAGGGGTGGCCAGTCTACCTCCCGACCTGGTATCAACCCCTGCCCCAGGGCTGCCCGGTGGTCAGCTGCGCCTGAACCTGTTCCCACTGGCCGATGGCCCACCTCCCCTAGGCCCCAGGTGGCTTTGTCTGCTTGACCATTGCTAGAGCTCAACCCTGGCGCCTGTCCTAGTTGGGGGAGGGGCCAGTTCTCTCCTCCCACACTTCTGGGGCCCCTGTCCAATCAGCTGCATGGAGGGAATGGCCCGGAATGTGTAAACATTGCCCCCCATGGCCCATCTTGCCCCTGGGAAAGTCTGCTCCTCGGCATCTGCCCGGTGTTTGTGCGCCGCCCACGCGTGGATGTGACCTGGGGGTGTGGGTCTGAGCCGGTCCACGCTGGCATTTCTGCGTGGATGTGAACGTGTGTGTTTGCTGGGCGTGCACCTCTGACTGTAACTGTGTGTTCACAGGCATCAGAGGAACCTCCACCCTGTTCCTTTCTTCCTTTTGAGTCAACAGGTCTTTCCCAAGCACCTGCCAGGCAGCAGCCTCCACGCAGGGGACTGGGGACGTGGAAATGCTTAGGCGTGGATGTTAGGAGTTCTGCAGGCAAGCGGCGATACCCCACCCCCCCACCCCCTTCTCTGTGCAAACGTTGATAGGAGAGATTCGCTCTTGGCCGTTGCTATAGGAGCGGAAGTGGGCCAAGAGCTGGGGGCAGAAGGAGTTACCAAGGTCCCCTCCAAGGCCTCTGAGCTGGTTCAGGCTGGAAGGCACAGGAAGGGAGTCCTCTGCAGGGCCCATCGCTGGAGCAGTGGGAAAGAGGCAGCCGGTGCCAGGCGTGGTGTGGGGGAGCCAGTGAGGGAGCAGCCAGGTCGGCCTGACCTGGGAGGTTTTCAACAAGCAAGCTCAGGCCAGGGCTCAACGTTTTGAATGCGCTGTCACCAGATAAAATCGGCATATTTCGTATTTTAAGAAACCCAGATTTCCAGCTTCTCTTGAACTGGGGGAAGCTCTAGCTACGCTGGGCCCCGCTTACCACACTGACATAACCAGCTGGAGCTAAGCGTCTGGCTGCTACCCGTGATTCCGTTACCTGCCAGGCCCTTGAACTTCTCTCGAATTTAAAGCCTGGAAAAGAAGGTCTGAATTGGAAGCCAGAGATCACAGGTTCTCATGTTGGAAGAGACTTCTTGCGTTCCTCCAGTCACAGGGAGCTCATTGCATCTCAAGATGGATGGTTCCAAGTGTGGGTTTTAGGAGACCATTTATTTATTTATTTATTTATTTATTTATTTATTTATCTCTTCTTAAAAATACTTTTTATTGACTTCAGAGAAGAAGGGAGAGGGAGAGAGAGAAACATCAATGATGAGAGAGAACCATTGATCCGCTGTCTCCTGCACGCCCCGCACTGGGGATTGGGCCCGCAAACTGGACATGTGTCCTGACCAGGAATTGAACCAGAGAACTCCTGGTTCCTGGGTCAACACTCAACCACTGAGCCACACCGCTGGGCAGAACTTTCATTCTTTTTTATGATGGAATAACCATTCTATTGTGTGGATGCACGGCTGTCTCTGTCCATTCATCTGTTAATGGACACTTGCATTGCTTCTACCTTTCGGCTATTGCGAATCACACTGCACGTTTGCATACAAGTATTTGTGTCTCTGTTTTCAATTCTTTGGGGTATATACTTAGGAGTAGAATTGCTGGGTCATGCGATAATTCTGTCTTTAATATTTTGGGGAACTGCTGAACTGTTTTTTTACAGTGACTGTACTACTTCATGGCAACCTGCTGTTCTGGCCAGGATGGGATGACAGGAGGACCTGATGGGGTGGCCTCAGTTGTCCGTGCTTACCCTCTCTCTCCCTCTGTTGACAGAGTCGCCCCAAGAAAGGCCAGGCTCCCGGCGCAGCCTGCCCGGCAGCCTCTCAGAGAAGAGCCCCAGCATGGAGCCCTCAGCCGCTGCGTCGTTCCGGGTCACGGTAACTATCTCTGCGTCACCATCACCACCTGGCCTGGGGTGCTGCTCTGTGACCCCACGGCCCCCCTTCCTGGAGCCTCATGGATCGGGAGACCATCCAGCCTCCCTTGTTCTAGGTATCCGATCACTCAGCTGCTCCCCCCTCTGTGGCTCAGCCCCCACCCCTGGGGGCCATATGGGGGTCCCATCCTGTGAGGGAGGGGGCTGGTGGAGGACAAACAGCCCTGCAGCTGAGGGGCCCAGACCTGAGCTAGGAAGAGAGAGGCTAGTGTTAGGTCAGATAAAGACACCCTCACATACACACACACACACACACACACACACCATGCTTCCCCGACTCTTGAGGTGCACAGATTTTGTTTCTACATTTTAAGATCTCTCATGTTATAGTCCGTGATGTGTCATAATTTAATTGCTGTGTTTTTTCTTGGTGGCACATAAAATAATGCTGGGTCTTAAATTGATGGCATATTAGAATCAACAAAATGCGGTATAAATATTGTAGCTGTTTATTTTAGTGGTCCCACTCGCACAAACCTAAACAGCTTTACGGAAACAGAACCGAGAAGCCTTCATACCTGACTCTCCATGCCCCTCTGTGTCCCCACCAATCTTGCTGCTCACACACAGGCAGTTTTGTGTCCCTTTGCTTCCCCATTTAGTATGTTACTACGTGTCCCCTGTCCAGTATTCTGCTAGCCACAAGAGACACGGAGGGGTAGACACTTTCTCTTCCCCTGGGAGCTTACAGAGTCTAGGGAGATGGAATTTTGATCATTTGTTTACCCATTCATTCATTCAACAGTTTTTTATGGAGTGCTTGCTGTGTGCCAGGCACCATTCTTGGGACTGGGGCTGAGTAGGAGGAACTGGCCAAGACAGGTGAGGTAGATGAGGCCCCTGGCCTATGCGTTCATGCTCTCACGTTGGAGCTACATGATATCCAGGAGAAAACCAGGAGGGCTTCCTTGAAGTGGTGTGATCGGGGCTGAGGCCCAAGGGATGAGGAGCCAGCCCTCTGGGGAGCAGAGGAAAGAGGCTTTTGGTAGAGGAAACAGAGAGGGCACAGGCCTGGCTGTCACCCTACACTGTGATGTGGGGGGTCAGGTGAGCTAGGAGTGACCAACTGTTCCTGTGGCTTGGGAAGGGTTTTCCCCCAGGGAGCTGACTTTTGAGCTGGGTCTTAAAGGGGCACTAGATATTGGGTAGACAGGGACAGTGAGAGGGAATCCAGGTAGGGGGAACATCAGTTGCAAAGGCATGGAGGCACACAGGACATTGACCTGTGTGTAGAATGGTGACATACTTGGTGGAACCGGAGGTGAGAGGTCTGGAGGACAGGGTGGGCGGTGAGGCGGGAAAGCTGGGCTGACTCTGGGTCGGGTGGAGCCTTTGAGCCAGGCTCGGGGGAGGGGCTTTCCTCAGGGCCACTGGTTCTCCTTCCTGGCGATATGTCATTAAATGCTGTCAAAACAGATTCTTGAGCCTCCTCAAGATTCCAGTGCAGTGGGGCAGGGGCAGGGCCTGGGTATCTGCATTTTAACAAGCTCCTTGAGGGAGTGGTTCGGAGCCCCAACCTCTGGATCAGCCTCCAGGAGGGAAGGGAAGGAGGAGACGGTAGCCAGTGCTGAGAGAGGACTCAGGGTCCCTTCCCTGGGTGTGGCCAGGCCCCTGGGAGATGGTCTCCAGCCTGCAGGCAGGGCCAGGAGGCTGGCACAGAGGTGACCCTGTCTCGAGTCAACTGGAGTAGAGGCCAGTCCTGCCTTCCCTGGATCCCTGGAGCCACAACAGCTGGGGCCTTAGGGAACAATGACCACTAATAACATAGCCAGCTGCTCTGTGCTCAGGGTCTTACACATATGAACTCTTTGACTCCTTGAGACAACCCTGCAGCTGATTTTTTTGATCACCCCACTTTACAGATGGGAAAAATGAGGTTTAGAGAGATGAAGTCACCCAAGCGCCACCTGCTAGTGGTGGAGCCAAGACTTGAACCCAGACTCTCTGGCCCTAGAGCGTGAGCGTGAGCACACACTTCCTCTTGCTGGGAAGAGAAGCTGTTGTCCCTACACCCTCGCAGCACCCCATCAGCATCACTTTTTACCCTCTTCCTTTTCTTTTGCTGCTCTAATAGGTGTGTCATCACACCTTGAAGTTGCTATAATTTGCAGCTCTTTAATTGCCAGCTAGACTTGGCATTTTTCCTGTAGTGGCGCCTTTGCTCTGTTTCCTGGCGTGGAAACCACCTGTGGATCAGAGCCAGCACCAGCCCTCTGAATTGCCAGGCCCCCGGGACTCCTGGTCCCGCCTGCCCAATTAGGGTCTGCAGGATGGCAACTGTGCTCAGGCCTCGTTTACCCTCTTCTCACCACAGCCCTGAGGGGTGGCGCTATTAGTATACCTGTGTCCCAGATGAGGGAACGGAGGCTCAGAGAGGGGAAGTTGTTTGCCCCGTGTCATGCAGCTGCTGAGTGACATAACCAGGCCTGGATGCCAGGACTGTAGGACATCAATGTTTTTTGTCCTTTTCTGGGCACCTTGGTCCCTTGCTGTGTGTAGCAGTTAGGAAACAGTTGTGAGTTGAGTTTCTGTCCTGAGCTGGTGCTGGGAGCTGGGGGAGGGGACTGGAAAGATCGGAGTTGGGGATCTTCAGTGACCTGTGTGACCTCATTAGTCACAGAGCCTCTTTGAGCCTCCTGCCCTTGTCGGTGAAGTGTGGATGCCTGCCTCGAAGGACGATGTGCACCTTCGCATCAGCCCAGGTCTGACCCTTGATAGGTGCGTAGTACATGAAACCCATCACTAGGGCTGATGGTGCGTCCCTTTGTGGCTCCAGCACAGCAAAGACTGGGGGAGGGTCGGGTGGACAGCAGAGGGCAGGTGTTTGAGGGGAATGTCTGGCCTGGGCCTTGGAAACAGACCCAGACCCTTTGCAGGACCAGAAGCACACCCTTTCCCCCTCAGCCAGGGTTGCCACCAGCTCCCATGTGCTCGGCCGACTGCTGCTGGGAGCAGCCCTACGGGGGACCCGGAGGACATGGTATTGCCAGGGGAGGCAGGGGAGACAGACAACACAGGACATACCTGAGCAACTGCTGTCTTCACTGCCATTTCAAACTGGATGATGGGATGTCCCCACCTCAAACAGGAATGCATGCCCCTTTGCAACCATGTAGTTTAACAGAGAATCAATGTTTTGGGTTCTGTAGGACTCATTCTATTCACCTCTTCCATGAAAACTGAGGCCTGTCCAGGGTCATCAGCCAGCTGGGGGCGCTTCTGAGTCTAGGCTGTTTGCACCCCTAAAGGTGGCCCTCGCTCCTTTGGTGAGTTAGGCTAGGACCGCAGCCACCCCACAGGACATCAGAGGCTCGGTGCTGGTTCCACCTCCGCCTCTTGGGGACCATGGGACCCTGGCAGAGCCTCAGTTTACCCTTCTGTAACGTGAGTGGAGTGGACTTTGGAAGGCAGCATGTGGTTTGGCATGCGGTAGGCACTTAAATGTTCTGATGTAGTCACTAAGAGAAAGAGCTGTAAAGTCAGCAGGCCTGGGGCTGAGCCTCATATCTGTTTTGCTACTTGGGCAAGATATGGAACCTTTTGTCCACCTGGTGCAACTTCCTTCTACCTACAGGTGGAGTTGGGGTGGGGGAGTGGTTCCCCAGGGCCGCATGGTGCCAGCAGGCTGGTGTGGTGCTATGGGGGACCCTGGATGAGGGTAGGATGGAGAAATGAGCTGGGAGCAGGTGAGCAAAGGGACCTCCTGTCCTTCGCTGGCCTTCAGCTCTCAGGCCCCAAAGAGATAGTGAGGTCAAGATTCAAACTGAGGTCTGTCTTCACTGCACTAGTAGGGAGTCCTGGAAGGGAGAGAGGGACGGAGGGAAGGAAGGAAAGCAGGTGGCAAGCTGGCAGGCTGGGCCCAGGGTGCTGCCCCTCTCACCTGCCACCCCATGTTAGAGGAATTCATGGTTTGATTTGGGGGTAAGGAGATGGTGACTGTTACAGGTCTCCCCCTGATTCCCCTCGGCCCGCTGCCTTCCCCAGACCTACACTCCCCAGGTGCAGGCTGGGTCCTTCCTCTGCCCCCACCCCTCCCAGCGACCTTGAGGAGAGCTGACAGGGCCGGGGTGTGGGAGGTGGCAGAGGCTCTGGGAAACTTGACAGCCAATTGATTCCTCCTCGGGAAGTTGAAAGTGGAGAGTCGTGTTTGAAGGCTTAGCTGAAATTAGGTCTCACGGCTATTTTTTGCGAGATGGAGAAGAAGTGTCAGAGAGGGGAAGGCACAGGGGACTGGCGGGAGCTGCAGATAAACTCAGTACCCGGTTGATTGCAAATACCTCTAGAAGTGAGGCTTATTTCCTTTCAACCACCCACTCTTACTGAATGCACAAATGTTGTATCCTAGGTGGTTCTGAAGCTGTGATGGAGGTGTGCCTGTGGTGCTGTAAGAACCCAGAATAAAGGGCAGTTAGAAAGAATCCCTAGAAGAGGGATCTTTGGGGCTGGGCTTTGAGGGATGTGTAGGAGTTTCTCAGGAACAAAGGGAGAGGAGTACTTCAGTTAAAGGGGGATCTAACTGAATAGGAAGAAGCCAATGGCCCTGTGTGATTAGAGCATTGGGTGAGTTGGAGGCATGAAGGAGAGGAGCCTGGAGGGAAAAGGAGTGGGTAAAGCCTTTGGACTAAAGCTTTTGGACTTCCCCCTATAGGACACGAGCCACAGGGGATGATGGGCAGGAGTGGAGCCAGCAGGAGATCTCTGGGATGTGGACTTTGGGTTTCCCCGGCTGCTCACCTCTCTGCCCACTCCTGCAGCCTCCCTGCACCCTCCCCAAGTTTCAGCTGCCCATCTTTCTCACACACACAGAAACAGGTACATGAGCACACACTGCAGACCTGTGGGTGACCCTTTGTGGAAAGGCTGTTGGAAAGTATCTGGTCCTCCCCTTCTCTGTACAGAGGAGGGACTGAGGCTCAGAGAGGGGAGGGTCTTCTGCCGAGGTCACACCACACATCGGGGGCAGGGCCTGGAATTGAGCCTAGCCCTCTCCATTGCCCATAAAGTGGTCCAGAGTCCTGCTCCTTCCTGTCTTCTCTTCCCTACCACTGAGCCCTTCTCCCAGCCTCCTTTTGTTTCTTGGGGGAGGGGGCCTAAGGGAAGGGGTATTTGTGGGTCTGACTGTCCTTGGAAGCCCCTGCTCGCTCCCTCCCACTCCTCAGCACACTGCCACCTCCTGGCCACTGGGTCCCAGCACCAATGACGGCTGGACTCACAGTTTGGACTGGAGGCTGCCTGGAGGAGGAGTGATGAGGGGCAGGAGAGTGGCGTTCTCTGCTCCCTACGGGTTCTGCCTCTCTGTTCCCGTTAGTGTCCCTTCTCAGCGAGGGCGACTCCGTTGGGCATTGGGGTGGGGGACAGAAAAGCTGGTCAGGCTCAGATTAGACGAACCAGCTCTGTCACTGCGCATATGGGGAAACTGAGGCTCAGAGAGGGGAGGTTTGCCCGGAATACCTGCCGGGGCTCCCTCCACCACTCCAGGCTGCTCTGGCCCATCTCAAATGCACATGTACATGGGACACATCCACACCTGTGGCCCACACACCAGTGGAAGGCTGTGCCCGACCTGGCAATAGTGCTGGGTTGGGGTGCTATGAATGGGTGCCCCGAATTCTTCATAGCACCAGGAATTTGCCCCTGAGGCCAATGTCCCGGGCGTGTGAACTAATTTTCCTCCCTCTTTCTCTGCCTTTTTAATTTTTTTATTTTTATTTTTATTGTTCAGTTGAGCCTTGTGAGCTGGAGTCTCCTAACCCAGCGTGTGGCTGGTGTTCCCAGGTGGAGACATCAGGCCCCACACCCTCAGTCCCTTCCACCTCTGCCTGTCACAGACCCTAATTGCTATTAAACTGTTCCAACCCAAAAGCAAAGTTACTATCATCTTGGTCTGTGTCCCCCTTACACAAAGAGAGGCCCCCTTTCCTGCAGTGGGAAAGGCGCCTCCCAGGCCCGGGCGCTGCCCAGGGTGGCAGGCCTGGGCCCAGATGGTCTTCAGGCAGAATGTGGGACCAGGGGCCATTTGGAGACTCGACTCCTGAATCCGAGGCCAGGCCAGGGTCCGAGGCCCGAAATGGAGGGTGGGAGGCTGCCCCATTAAGAAACAGGAATGTGGTTTCATTTGCTCCGTTTTTGAGATCAGGAGAACCAGGCCCGGGGACTGTCCCAGGGTCGCACAGCCGGTGAGTGGCAGGGATGGGGGTCAGACTCTGGTCTTCGAGTCCCACGGTGGGTGTGAGCTAATTTTCCTCCCTCCTTTCTCTGCCTTCCTTTTGATAAATTTTTAATGAGCATCAACCATGTGTTGGGACCTTTGTAGGGCACTTGACACAAAGAGAACTAAAACATAGTTGCTACCTGCAAAAATACAGAGGGTCACCTGGGGCTTGAGGAGGTAATTTCCAGGCAGGTGAGGGGAAAGGACACAGGCAGCCAGGGCAGCCCCTGCAAAGGCCAGGGGGTGGGAAGCAGCCTGAGCAAGTGATAGCAGGAACCGGCAGCAGCTTGAGGGGCTGAAATTTTAGGAAGTGGCTGGAGTGCGAGGGGTGGCCAATTCACGGCAGTGTACAGAGCAAAAGGGATCAGGGGCTGTATTCATAGGAGTATGGAATCCCCAGAGAGGGAGCCCATCTCTGCCCCCCAACCCCTGAGCGTAGAATGCTCTTTGTAGGGGTCCCTGAGGGCAGGGGTAGAGAGAAGTATCCACTCAAGGAACCTTGGAATCTCTTTCCTCATCCTGGGAGGTGTCCGCTTGGCAGCTTGCGTAGGAAAGATAGAGAGGGAAGGAAACAAGGACAGCCTGGGACCTCCCTCCTCTTTCTGCCCTGGGGCTTCCAGGGCCACCTCTGGGCCATTCCTGTAAGCTCCGTTTCCCCCTCCTTGCCCTGGTGGGCAGCAGGAGTCTGATAAACCGGTCCCCCCTAAGGTGTCAGTGGCTGAATCCCTGTGTTACAGGTTCCTAGCACAAAAGGAGCCTTATCAATGGGAAGCTTCAGTCATTCACGGGGAATGTCGGGCTCTGTGACTGGCAGGTGGGATGCTGTTTGGGGGCCTTTCTCTCTCTCTCTGCCCTTCCCCGTCCCCCACTCCATTCTGCTGGTTTCTCCTAGTAGTCCACCCAGGACAGGCAGGATTTGAATCTTGGTCCATGGCTTCCCTCTGTGGGATCGCTCAGGCAAGTTCCCACCTCTGAGCCTTTGTAAATGGGCAAAGGTGGCTCCCCTTGCTGGTGAATGGGGCTCACCTCTACTCCACACCTTCCCCAGAGCCTCAGGTCCTCCCTTCTGCACCCCTCACCTTCTGCCTCAAAGACGTATTGCAGAGAGTGCCCAAGGGGCCGGAGACCCCGCTCCCAGTGGTGAATACAGATAGAGGAAGCCCAGGTGTGTGCAGGGCCATTTCCCACCAATTGGGGGCAGCAGAGTGCAGCAAGTGGACGCCTGGGTGGCTACTTCCAGAGGAGAGTTGAAGTCCCAGGGGTTTGTGGGCCCCCCCTCCATCCTGTGTCCCTTACCCCAGGGCTGCAGGGAGCCGGCTGAGCTGAAAAAACCAGAGCCCACCGCTGGTTGGAGGGAAAAGATCAAGTCAGGGAGTACCTTGTGTTGGTGGCTGAACTGACTGAGCCTGGGTTGACCAGAGACCTGGGACTTCTGAAAAGGGACCTGTGTCAGGGACACTGGAGGGGACGAGGAGCCCAGGCAGCCTCCCAGCAGGAGGAGGGGCCAGGCAGTGTCGCCCTACTGTGGTCACCTGGCTGGGCCAATTAGACACTCTTCATGGTGGTCCTTCGAAGGCTTGCAGGTGCCTTGCTCCATCCTCACCTCTGCTTTGAGAGGAAGGAAGGCAGGCGTTCTGGGGCAGTCGGGATGGTGGGCAGAGCTTGGACTTGAACTGCGTAGCTGGGTTGGAGCCAGCTGTACCAGCTCTTTGCTCTGTGCAACGGGGGATTGTAAGGCTCATTTTGCACAGTCTGCGGGGTTGGGCCCTGTGCCGAGCACTCCCCAGGCATCACCTCATTTAGTCCTCACAACCCAAGGGGCAAAGAACACACATTCCATTTTTTTAAGGTGACAAAACCAAGGCAGACGGAAAGTGAAGAACTTGCTGACGATCACTCAGCTCATGAGTGTGGGTTTGAAGGTCTCGCAGAGCCGGTCCACAGCATGCAGCCCAGTCTCTGCCAGCCAGAGTTGTTATTCTCTGTTTTATAATTGAGAACGCTGAGGCCCAGAGAGGGGAGGTGCATTGTCGAGGTCACTCAGCCAACCAGGGACAGAACTGGCGTTTGCACCTGCATCTCCCCATCTTGTCCTGCCCCTGCCCCTGGCCTGGCCCCCACTGGTCAGAAGGTGTCTGTGCAGGGTGGACACCACCCTTTTTCACCCCACCCTGTGTCCCTGGCATGCCTGCCCCTCTTCCAGGGGGCTCAAAAGAGTGGGTATAGGGGGCTAGCTCAGATGCCTTCATGCCCCACCCCCATGGTATGAAAATAAAGTGATTGTCTCTATCATATCAAGTGACATTTGGGTTGGATTGCAGACATAATGACATCTGAGTCTTCTGGGGAGAACTGCTTCCCAAGCCAGGAAGCCCTCTTGCGGTGGCAGCGATGACATCTGTTTCCGACACAAGGTCCCACACTGGGATGAGTAACTTTTCCAGTGGAATGTCTGAGATGAGCCATGACTTTTACTGCCCTGCTCTGGTACCTTAGATGGCTCCCAGGGGTGGGATCCATTCCCCAGCATTTGAGGTGCCCTGTTCCCCTACGCCCCGCCCCCCCGCCGCCCCCCCCCCCCCCCCGGCTGTCCTAACCTCCGTGCCCTTGCACAGCTGGCTCTGCTGCCACAGTTCCTCCCCATTCCTCTGCCTCGAGAGCTCCTTCTCTGCTCCGTGCTCCCCCTGGACCCCAGCAGGCATCCCCTCCCTTAGGCTCCAGAACACGGATGCTGAGACTTAACTATCGCCAGACCTGGGGACTTTCTCAAGGGCAACTACTGTTTCTGATGTATCTGAACTCCAGGCACTGGGGCTGGGCACATGGAGGAGCTTGTGGGGTGAAGGTGTGTGAGAGGCAGTGGATGAATAAGCGAGTGCAGGGTGAGGAGACGCGAGGCGGGCATCCATCTCCTTGCTTCTGAGAGCCCCACACCTTTTGTCTTGGGAGGAGAGGTCAGGACAAGTCACCCAGACCACCACCCGGTGGCAAAGCCCAGCAAGGGCACCAACCCTGGCCTTGAAATTGACCTTTACTCCACCCATGGGCTCCCATGATCCCTCAGGGCAGGACTCCCAGGTGAGCCTGACCTGCAGATTGTAAATCACCCAAGAGCAGAAATAGCCTATAAAATCCTCTCCCAAAACAGTGCGTTTTGTATCCTGTAGTGAAAGGGCTTTTAAAAGCACTGCTCACTCAGGTGGATTTATGGGGCTGCTGCCTGCCTCTTGCCTCTCCCTCCCGCGAGTGTTTGCAGGTCCCTGGGACTGAGGCACCCTGGGGCCCGGTTGCTCCTGCTGGCTTGGTGCAGGGAGAAACAGGATTACACCTCTTCCCTGCCTTGCTGGTCTGGACTGACTGGGTGCCTGGGGGGACAGGGTGGGACCACCTGACCCAACAGAAGCTCCTTATGGCCCAGCACAGAGCTGAAGTCCCACTGTCAGTACCTTTCCTCCGGCAAGTTGTTGTCTCCAGAAGGTCCTTCCCATTTATTGTCATCAGATGGGTCACCATGGAGGCGAAAGATACCAGTTCAAGCTGGAAAAGAGTTAGAGATCAGCTAACCAACTCCCTCATTGTACAGATGGGGAAACGGAGTCAGGCTAACAAGCTCGCTCAGAGCCTCCTAGGGCAGCGATGGGATTCTAGAAGAGCGTGGGCTCTGGGTGCAAGCATTCTGGGTTAGACACAGCCCTGCCTCTTCCTGGCTGTGTGGCCCTGTGGAAGCAGCTTGACCTCTCTGAGCCTCCATTCTCTGATCTGCACATTGGGTTGTGAGAATTAAATGATGGGAGCCGCATAAAGCTTTAATACCGAGCCCGAGGCTTAGAGCTTCATAACTATATCTGGCTCACTCTGAGCACGTTGGAATAGGCTTCACCATTATTAATTAGCAGAGCTGGGACCAGATTTCCTGGCTCTGAGCATGGCTTTTTTTTTTGTCACTCTGTGGGGTGGCCTCTGCTGAGAGTGTTCACGCACACAGAGTGCGCAGAGCACAGGTTTTGATGGGGAATAAGTGCCGAAATCAGTGAGTCACCCTGGGAAGACTGGCCTGGTGAAGGGACCTTAGTGACAGGGCCTGGAGGGAGGCAGAGGGAGAAAGGGGTGAGGCTCCTTGATGGAGTCGCTTTCCCTGCAGCCGTGTGGCTCTGGTGCCAGACTCCCCACCGAGAGGTCAGAGCTGGCCGAGGGCTTAAGAGCTGATGGAGTGTCTGTGGCATCCAGACCTCTGGGATGGGCTGATTATGCTGAGGCTGGTGCAAGATTTACAGAGCAGTGAGTCACTCCCTGGCTGCTCTGGGCTATCACGTCCCTGCCTGGACCACAGGAATGTGTGTCTGATTTCTGGTCACTGATGCTACCCAGTCCTGGGCACTGGCAGGTACCAGGAGGGCCTCTCCCCATGTCCTTATTTCCCTGTCCCACCTTCACACCCCCATACTTTCCCCAACCGGGCTCCCTTCCCACCTCCTCTAGACTCTCAGGGTTCCTTAAGGGCCCCCTTTGCCTGGGCATCCTCTGCAGGAGTTATGCCCATGTCATAAGCCTGGCCTCGGTGTGCCACTCGGAGGTCAGAGGGACCTGTGGTCACTGCAGCAGCCTCCGAGGCGGCCAGGCTCGCTGCTGTCCTCACCAGTGCTCGGCCGTGCTTCTGCCTGGAATGCCTGTGTGTGGCTGCCCTGCTCTAGGTAACCTTGGGCAGCCCACCCAGATTGACCCCAAGTGGGAGCCCTTAAAAAGCCTCCCAGATCCCATTCTCTGCCTTCCTCCTTTCTCTTTTACACCATAAATATTTGTTAATCCATTCAGGAAGTATTTATGGCATACCTGCCAGGTGTTCAGCGCTGGGGACTCCGGCTGCCGGGGCCCCCACCATCCTGTGGGGGAGACAGACATTAAATAAATGCACAATTACAACTGTGATGAGTCTGTAAGGAGACGTGGCCTAATCTGAGGGCATGGGAGGCCCCTGAGGAGAAGATGTGAGGAGAAACTGAAGGGTGTGCCAGGCCCTCTGGGCAAAGGGGTCCTCTGTTCCGGGCAGTGGGAACAGCCTGTGCAAAGGCCCTGTGACAGGAGAAGCTGGCAATTTCAAAAGTCTCATTGAAGACAGGAGCTGGAGCACAGGGTCGGGGGCAGGTCATGAGGGGCCATAGGCCTCATAAAGGAGTGCGGCCTTTATCCCAGGAGCCCTGGGGAGCTGTGCAAGAGGTGGAGCTGGTCAGTGGTAAGATCTGATCTGCTTTTAAAGGCTCCTCCTAGATGCCCTTGGGGAATGAACGGGGGGGGGGGGGGGGTGGTGGCAGGGCTGGAGGTAACAAAAGCAGTGAGGAGGCCCCTGCAGGTGTCTGTGAAGGTCTAGGCCTGCCTTTGCAGCTGAGGGCAGAAAGCCGGCTTTCTCGGGGCCCAGCACATGGCGAGGCTCAGGGGACACGCCCTGGTGAGCTGTGGACCAGCACCCTGCCTCGTCAGAGGAGATGTGGGTCTTAAAGATGGTTTCCGTTAACTCTTGCTTTCTGTTTCCTTCTGGCTCATGGCTGGCTGGCTCCTGGTGGTTAAAGTCCAAGCCATAAAAAAATAAAAATGATGACAATGCCAGTGAGGATCATAATAGCTAGCATTTACTGCGTGCTGGGAAATGGGCTAAATTCTTTACATGCGTGATGTCAGACACCATTACAGCAACCTGTGGTGGCTGCCCTTCTCATTCTACAGAAGAGGAAATGGGTCAGTCGGCCAGGTCACTGGCCTAAGGCCCAGAGCCACAGGCAGTGGAACCCGCTGCTCCCCTGCTTCTCGGGGTGGGGGAGGAAGCCTTTGCCTTTTACCTGGGATTCCTAGAGACGGAGGTAACCCGAGCACCTGGTGGCCTTTGAGGTGTGATGATGGCAGAGGAGAAGTATTTGGAGCGGGGGTTCCTGGCTCTGAACAACCTGCTGGGCCGCAAGACTCTGAGAAACCTCATGTTCAGGGAGCTGCCAGGACAGCTTTCAGGGGGTGAGAGCAGCAAACAGGTCATCCTCAGAGAGGGGCACAGGGTGAGGGCCTGCCCGCAAAGCAGGGGGACCGGGAGGTCACCAGCATGGGCTTCCAGCTCTGAGGTCACCCCAACGCTCTCCCTTCCTTCCCGTTGTGGTTGTGAACGTGAGCCTGGTGGGCCTGTGTGTTTGGCCTGGTGTCAGCGTAATTCTGTGAGAGCCTAATGACAGCTGAGTGTGTGTTTGTGAGCTTATCTGTGCGTTTTATGATTGTGTGTGTGTGTGTGTTGGTCAATGTGCACATGTGTTTACACGGTGAGGGTGATGGGGAGACTTGTATTGTTTACACATGCATTTCTTGGTGGGTACCCTCCTCCGCCCCCTTGCCTTGTGTCCTTGACCTTGTGTGTTTTTCTGGCCCTGCATATTTGTCCATGTGAACATGTTTAGGTGTCGTTATCCAGGTACTATTTTAATTTGGGAATGATCCTTGAGTGTCAGGCCCCACTCCCTCCTGGCTCTCATGGCCCATGAGTTGGTTCTCTGAGTGACCCAGGCAGTCTGTCTGCCTTCTCTGGGTAGGGAAGAGTATGGAGGTCTTACATTTCAAGGGCACATTGGCAAGGGGTGAAGGAGGGTTTTATGGGTATAGGATGGCCTGTGAATAGATAGCCACCAGGAAGGCACCAACTTAATCCTGGCTTAACATGCAGTTCCTGTTTCACCTGTCACAGTGTCTGACATTCCACCATTAGTGAGTCATTCCCATCTCTTTGATGATGCATACCTCCCAAAGGAGGAGGCCAGGAGGCCTGAGGGCTTGCTGAGGGTGGAGCCCCGGGAACAGAGAAGGAGGGAGGAGGAATCCAGCATCTGAAGGACTCCGTGAAGCCGGAGAATTCACTGGTACTGCCCTGTGGGAGGGAGAGCCCACTGTGGAAGGCAGCTGCTCTAGCTTTCCAGAATCAGTTATCAGCACTGGAAAGGAGCTTGGCCATCACCCAACCCAGCCCTCATGGTACAGATGGGAAGACTGAGGCCTGGAAAGAAGAAACACGGGGAGACTGGGAGGCCTTGAAGGGTGGGGTGTGGGCGAGGAGAGGTTGACTCTGGGCAGATCACTGCCTCTGGGCCTCAGGTGCCTTGTCTGTACCATGTGGACATTGGCCCGATTGCCCGCATGAGCCCTCCTGGCTCTCACCCTGTGACTCTGGTATGAACGGTGAGGACTCCTCACTGCCCCCAGCCCCTTCCCAGAGCCTGTGTCCAGGTGGGGTGAGGTGTCCAGTCTGCCTGCCAGCCTGTGTGCCCCACAGATCTCCTCTCCTGGGGTGCTATCTGGATGGGATCTGCCCCTCCCTTTCCTGTTTACTTGGGCGTGCTGTTGGCATTTGCACAAAGCCCCAGAAAGATACTGAGACACGACTTCTGCTTGGGTGCCAGCCTTGGAACTGGCCATGGGAGGAGGAGCTGGGCCTGGCAGAGGGAGGGCTCATGAGGTGAGGTGCTGCCTCCATCCTGAGCACTGCCTCAGCGGCCCAGGGTGGGCAGCACGGGGCTCACTGGCAGGGCAGGCCCATCCATTCATTTGCAGTGACCTAGGGTTCGTTTGCTAAAAGGGGAGCAGCTGAAAAAGGCAGGACCAAGTAGATGGTGGAGCTGGGGGAAGGAACTCGCCCTTCAGAGAGCACCCACTATGAGCCGGGCGTGGCACTTGATGCTTTTCACTAGGGTGAGAAAGTGGCCCAGAGACCAGTGGTGACATGCAGCTCCCAGGTGCCCAAGTGCTGGTGCTGGAATGCAAACCCCTAGGTGCCTCCTGGTCAGGGAGCGAAGCACATGTGAGGATGGGCCAGGCTTCCCTTTCCTGAGCCTCCAGGTCCTCACTTGTGAGTTCTAGGCTCTCAGAGAGCACACCTTCCCTTTGTCCTCCCACCCAGAGGCCCAGCACAGTGCCTGGGGCTCCGTGGAGGGAGGATGGGCTGAGCTGTCAGTTCTCCTTCTAGCTTTTGACTTATATGTGTGCACACATGCAAGTGTGTGTGTGTGTGTGTGTGTGTACATGTGCATGTGTAAGAGGTACCCACCCTGCCCATGCCGTGGGCTAGAACTCTCCTGGTTACACGCCCAGCTCTACTGCCTATCAGCTCTGCCCCTGGGCAAGTGGCTTAACTTCTCTGAGCCTCCATTTACCCACTTGAAAACCTGACACACTCTGAATTCTGAGGCGCACAGTTTCCCAAGGAGGCCCAGGAGGAGGCATTGGGCCCTCCTTGGGACGTGCAGCGGGTGTCAGGGGCAGAGCGACTTGGCAGAGCCGGAGCACGATAACGGGTAATTTATCATCATCATCATCACTTGGAATTGATTGAAATGGGTGAGTGAAGAACTCGTGTGTCTGGAATTCTGAAAGGCCCTTGAGAAAGTCTCAGAACATCCTGGAGAAGGAGCAGGACTGTGGGCCCGACGCCAGGATGGTGGCGTAGTGGCTGGAACAGGGGTGAGGGAGCTGCTGAGAACTGCGGTCCTTCCAGCCGGAGACCCCACAGACTCCTGTCCTCCATTCAGACTGCCTTGCACTTTGGTCAGTGACCCGGATGAAAGCCCAGGGGTCCCCTGGATCAGGCTAGCCGGAGGACTTCCAGATGGGCAGCGGGCATTCACAGCTGTCAGCTCCCAAACACAGGGTTGGACTGGGGGTGGGGGAGGCATGGCACCAGGCAGCAGCCTTGTGCAGAAGCCTCCGGGGCCTGAGTTGACCTCAGTCAGTGACAGCTGTCTGAGAGGCACGGGGAACACGGCTGTGTGAGGGGAGGCAGAGCACCCCATCTGGGGAGGGCGGGGCTCGCTTCCCACGGACTGTGCGGGACTGCGCGGGCTCCTTGCTGAGCTTGAGACATCAGTGCCTGCTCGAGTGAATGGGAGCTGGGGCCGCCACCAGAGCAGCCCGCCCCAGCTCTTTGTATCTCCAGAGTCTCTGTGAGGTGCCTTAAAAAAAAACACAGCGCTTGTTGAAAAAAGTTCAAAACTACCCAACTGGATGAGAGCCTGTAACTCCAGCCTCACTTTGCAAGCGTGCTCGTTCCTTTCCTAGGCATGTTGTCAGGCTGCCAGGCCACCGTCAAGCTCCTCAGATTGCCAGACAGACTTCTACCTGTGGTGGCCACATACCTTCTCAGAGCAAAAATCGGCGGTTGCACTAGAGCCGCAGGATTTTAGGAGTTTATGTGTGCCACAAGAGGAAGAAGGTTGAAAATCGCTGCACTAGAGGCAACATCAGTGATAATAATAATAAAGCTGGCAACTACTATGTTTAGTTGCTTAATAGTTACCATTTTACTGGTGATCTTTTACCTCATGTAATCCCACCCTATAGATGTCATTAGCCTATTTTATAGATAGGGACACAGGCTCAGAGAGCTCTAGTAATTTGCACGCCCCCACTCCCCCCTCCCTTCAGTCCTCGCTTATCAGAATTAAGATTTGAACACAGTAGTGGGAGAGGACTTGTGCGGGGTATGATCAGCAGGGCCATCTTACATTGGATCTGCCTCCTGGAGAAGGTGGGATGAAGTCAGGCCCCTCGGGTGTGGAAAGAGGAGTCCAGAGCTTGATCTGTCCTACTTAAGCCTCACTGCAGTCCGCACCCATTTCACAGAGAAGTGAGGTGAGGGCCTGGCCAGCCATCCCCCGGCTAGGGGGTCTGTGGAGCCTGAGTTGAGCCCCGTTTGCCTTCCTCCAGCTCCCAGCGGGCTCGGCTGCAGTCCTAGAACCTGTTTCATTTAAAGAAGGAACATGATTTTCCCACTGCCCCTCACTAAAGGTTGACTTGGGCCTAGAACAAGATTTTCTGTCTGGAAGACCGCCACTCTCTCTTCCTGAGTTCAGGGCTGCAGCTGCTTCCAGAAATAATGTCTGGGGACCTGCCCGTGAAGGGACAGGAGAAAAGGCTCAGCTTCCTTCATCCAGCACTGAGTGAGGAGCCACCCTTGAGCCCTCCACCCCACGAAGAGGTCAGTAAGCAAGCTGTGAGGCTGGCCAGAGCAGGGCACTGGACTAACCTTTGACTAACCTTGCTGTGTGACCTTGGTGCCTCATTCACCCTCGTAATGCGTTCTTTTGGATTGGGGTCCCCTTTTAGCTGTGGCTTTCTGGGGTGATGAGCATTTGTTAAGCCTGGCATAGGCAGGGACAGGAGCTGAGTCCTCTGGGGGACACAAGGATAGACATGTGCAGTGTGATGGGAGTGAATGGGGGTCCTCCCCGTTCTCCTAAACTTTGGTTCTCAACCCTCCTAATGCCGCGACCCTTTAATACAGTTCCTCATGTTGTGGTGACCTCCAACCATAAAATTATTTTCGTTGCTACCTCATAACTGTAATTTTGCTACTGTTATGAATCGTAATGTAAATATCTGATATGCTATATGTGTTTTTCCATGGTCGCGACCCACAGGTTGAGAACCGCAAAGAATCACTCTCCCATGATCTGAGCTCTCTGGCCTCTTAATCTGTACATTGCTCACCTCCTAGCGTTCATGACCATCTTGGTCACTGTGTCTGACACATAGTGGGCTTTAATAGGTGGTGGATGAGTGACCGTTACAGAGAGTTTGAGTCCCTAAGTTCACGGTCAGTTGGGAGGCTGCTTGTCAGAGGAGTATTAGGTGTCACCTTAGGAAAGGTGGGGGGGAGGAAGTGACACATGTCTCACTCAATCTCCTAGGAGGGGGAAAAAAATTTTTTTTTCCACTAAAAATATGGGTAAAGCTGTCAATATTGCTACATAATAAGCAACATAGATTTTGAAACATGTCTTGTGGTTCTTTGTGCCACATGAGTGTAAAAATTGTGAAATTTCCATCAGTGTAGAAAATAAAAAACAAGAAAAAGTACAAACCCATTGGGGGAACTTGCTTGACAGCAACACCTGTTCCAAAAGAACCCATCCAAGTTAACCAGGTGCATCTCCCCTCCCCCCATACCTGGCAAGAGGCCAAGATTTGGAGAGTCAAGAGCTTGTGTGAAGGTGTGGGTTCCTGTCTCCATGCTGTGTTCCCCAGAGGGTCTAATGTCCCCTGATCCGCCACCTTTTGTGGTCCCTCTGCATTGGGCATTGCCCTGTGGGTGACCCTCAGGATTAGGGTCCCTCTTGCAGCTAACACCTGAGAGATACCTGGTGAATTGCAGCTGGTGAGAGCATCTTCATGGGTGGGTACTCTGAGCTGCAGAGGTGAGAGGCTTTTGGAGTCCAAGGCCTGAGAAGCCTTCTGGATGAGGTGGCATTTCAGCTGGGCCTTGTAGGATGTGCAGAATTCTGACAGGTAGCCACAGGGATAGGTCTTCCATGGATGTGAGAGATCGAGTGGGAGGGAAAAGTAAGGGGAGAAAGGAAAAGGAAAGCTTGGAGAGGGTGGGCAGAAGTGGGGATCCTGTGGGGAAAGCTCTGGCTTTAGGTTGGCCTGGAAGCTGTGTGTCCTTGGGAAGTCATTTTACTTCTCTGAGCAAGGTTTACCATCTTCATTTTTTTTTTCTTTTTCTGTGTGGGTGATGAGATGATGTATACAACCAATGCTTGACCTTGTCATGTCCAGGGTGCTGGGGCCATAGAGAGGGGCAGATCCCGTACATGGCATGACCTATAGCAGATGTCCACTTTTCCACTGGACCAGAGAGGGCCCCTAAAACTACCCTCTGTTGTGTGATGGATGAAATGTGATGTTCAGATTGTGTACAAATAAGTTAATATCCCATTCGTCTGGAATTGAGGCGGGGATGGTGAAGCCCCGGAGCCCTCTCAGATAAATTCTCCCTCAGGGTATCTCCCCCCAAACCCCAGTTTTCTTCCCCTTCCAGCATCCTGTGTGTTCCAAGTTCAGAACACCTCAGGCTGTGGCCCCTTGAGGCTCCAAATCTACCCATTCTCTTATAAAGGGAGCGCTGGTTCAGCCTGCATTTCAGTATTGAATGAACGCCTGTCTCACTATTGGGCTAGGAGTTCTTGGGGCTGGAGGTGGGATTAGGCTCTGCCCTGAGTCCAGGGAAGTCTGGTAGATGGAGGAATGACTTGAAAGCCCTCCCCCCAGCTGAGATCTGCCACACTCCTTCCAGGAGCAGCCCCTCTCCACCATGAGTCAAGAATGCGCCCAGGCAGCTGTTCCTCTAACGAAGGCCCCCCCCCATCCCTGGGACCTGGCTCCACATCTTGAAGCATGCAATGGAGATACTCAGCAAATCCTCAGCCCCTTGGCTCTCCCTGAGCTAGGCACTAGGGACCCTGAAACCAAGGTGGTTGCCCGGCTGGGATACTGTGACTCCAGCCAAGGGCTACCCCCTGAGGGCCAGTGATGGTCATCCACGGAAGGAAGGGCACCCAGGTTAAGGGTCCAGGTGGCCAGGGTAGCCTGCCGGCCCCTGGAGGACCTCACACCTGCTCTCAGAGCCTTCGTTTCCCCGATCTGTGTAACCAGGGTTGTGGGGAGGAAGGCACTTTGTCAATCTGGAAAGGTGTGGGAGGCGTGGATTTTTCAAGGTGGGTGGGGGGTGTGTGACCTCGTTTCCGGTAGAGGTGAGGGGACCGCGGCCGTCCAAGCCCCTGGGGGTCCCCGCCCCTCCGCAGCCCCGCCCCCTCGTCCCCTGTCCCCGCTGCCCGGGGGGCTCGGGCAGCCTCGGCCGCGGCCGGCGCGACTCGGCTCCGCGTCGCCATGGCAACAGTGGCTTAGGGGCGGGGGCGATGTGGCGGGCTGGGCTGGGCTAGGTTGGGCCGGGCGGGCGGCGCGGGGTGGGCTGGGCCTCGCAGCGCGGGCCGGGCCGTCGGCGCTCGGTCGGCGGGCGGGCGGCGCGGGCTGCGAGCTGCTGGGGCCGAGCCCGAGCCCGCGCCCGCCCTCGGCCGCGCGGCCGCCCGAGCCGGGGCGCGGGTCCCGCGCGGGTCCCGGGCCCAGCGCCGTCGCCGCGCTAACCCCGCCTCCCCTTCCCCTTCTTGTCGCCCCGCGCGCAGGGCTTCCTCAGCCGCCGCCTCAAGGGCTCCATCAAGCGCACCAAGAGCCAGCCCAAGCTGGACCGCAACCACAGCTTCCGCCACATCCTGCCGGGGTTCCGGAGCGCCGCCGCCGCCGCCGCCTCCTCCGCCTCCTCCGCCGCGGACAATGAGAGGTGAGCCCGCCGCCGCCGCCCGACCCGGCCTCCTCGCGCCGCCGCCCCGGGATGCGCCCCGGAGGGCGCGGGGACAAAGCGGGAGCCGGCGCCGGAGCGCGCTGAACGCGGGAGGGTGCGCCACGCCGCCCTCCGGCAACTTGTGGGGCCACCACGGGCTGGGGGGTACGGCGGGCGGACCCTTCTCTTACCCACCTCCCCCGGGGTGAGGCCGGGCAGGACGTGCCCTCGGCGAGAAGTCCTGCCTCGCCTGGCCGAGGTGGGCATTGTTTCCCGGGCGCTGCAGTGCCCGGCGCTGGGGACAGAAGTGGCGCCTCCATCCACAGGACTCACCCTCCCCGCCTCTGGAGCCCCTGGGTGTCCGATACAAAAGGCATTTTCTGCTGGGTTTTGCTGAAACCCAGTGGTGAGGAAAAGGGTGAACATCTGGCAGGGAGGAGCAGGGGGCTGGGCCGCTCAGGGGGCACATCTGCTCTAAGTAGGGCGCACGCTCTTCTGGGGGCGGGGGTGAGCAGAGCGGCAGTGCCGGGGTCCTGAGCTCAGGACATCGCCGGAGGCTGTGGACGAAGGGCCTTAGCCTCTCCAGCCTGGGCAGCTGCTTCCCTTCCTTACCTCTCCACTCCCAGGGGTGTCTCCTGTTCCCTGTTTCCTTTTCCTGGGCAAGCCAGGAGCAGGGTGGAAATTCCAGGGGGAGGTGGCTTGTGGGCCCGCGGAGGAGAGGGGGGAGGTAGTTGAGCCTGCCTGGAGTCACCGGGAGCTGAGCAGGCTTCAGCTCGCAAGGGCAAGCCATCCTGTGCCCGCCTGTAGGGGCACTGGGCAGGCACAATCCCTCGGGGCCCAGGTCACACTCCTTGAGCCCTGCCAGCCACCACAGCTTTCCACTTGGGCACAGGTACAGTGATGGATTCCGGTGCCAGTTAGAACGTGTCCCTCCCTGCTCAGCTAGTGGAGGTGAAAGAACGGGCAGGCACCATTCAGCCCCACATCTCAGGCCGCTGGCATCTGCCTTAATAGGGCTGTGCCTTGTGTGTGATCAGCGAGTTGGCGGGTAGGGGAGGCACGGGAGGAATGAAAATGTGTTTCTGCTCCCCCTTAGTTCCAGCAAGGAAAGGAGTACAAGTTATAGCCCAACTCCTGCCCAAGGTTGAGTGACTTTAACTGACCCCTAGCATCTTTCCGGAGAGTCGCCCCAGTAGAATTACTAGACCTGTAATTTCTACCAGCCGAGAGCTGCTCTTCCCAGGGCATCCTGCCGCTGCCTGCAGCCAGTTTCCTGCCCCGGCTGCCAAGCCTAGCCTGAGGAAGGACCCTCAGCCTTTCTCTGATGGCCGTGGTGCCCCAGGGGACCAGGCGTGCCGTGCCAGGCACATGCAGCCAGGCCAGAGCTCAGTGCTGGGTGCAGCCACTGCGTCTTTGAAAATCTCGCTTCCCATCTTTGTTATTGTCTCGGAGTCAGGCCACCGGGTTTGCTGCCTTCCTCCCTACGCCGGGCCCCGCCTCCGGCTCTCTCCCCCAGGAACATGCCTTTCTCTGCGCTTTCCTTGGCGGGGGTCAGGAACCTCTGCACCCGCATGCGGGGGCTTGTGTACGTACCCCGTTTTGTGTGCATGTGTTGATTGTCGGGGAGCAGGAGAGACAGCAGGCAGTCCGGCCTCTGAGTGTGTCTGCCCTCCCAGGAGCAGACAGCGTGCATGCCATGTTTACCTCCTTTCCCTGGAGAGCCTGCACCGAGAAGCTGGTGAACGCTTGGCCGGCAACCCTGGCTGGAGGTTGGGGCATGGCTGAGATGCCCTCGAGCAGGTCCTGCCCAGCTTGGCCTCAGGTCAGCATTGCCAAATGCTGGAGGGGCTTGGAGTTGGGGGTTGGGAGTGAATTTGTTTAAGCCCATCTCTAGAAATGGTGGTAAACGGTAGTGGTTGGAGCAGAATGGCAACGGCAGTGGTGTGGAATTGTCTTATTAATTTTCCATAAACAAAATCTGGCTTGGTGGCTTCTCTGGCACAGGAGATTTCCTACGGACGGGCAGAGGCTGAGTTTGAAATCTCTCTTCCCAGCCTTGGAGCTGAAATAGGCTTGGCTAGGACTGGGGTCTCCTGTTTTGCTGCTTTGGTTAGAAATAGACTCATTGGCTGCTGCTGGGATGGATGGGCAGATATTTCTCTGGGGCACCCCCTGGAGTCATCCTATTTGGAGTTGAGTGAGTAAAACCGACTATGGCGACCCAACTCCCACAAAGCTCTTGGTCAACCTGGGTGAGTGAGGTACCTCCCTGTACTCTGACTTGGTGTGGTTGTGCTGTTGAAGGCTGGGAGGGCAGAAAGGCTGCCTTTGGCTTGGTTTAGGAGCAAGGAGGGGGTGGAATTCAGCTTCATGGGACCCCCACTGGGTTGCCACGCCTTCTGCTGGGGTGGGGCGGGGGGGGGGGGAGGGTAAGTGCATAGATGCCAGTCTCCGGGATGTGAATGGGAAGAGGGTGGGGCTTCTAGGTGACAAGCGTGAGCTCTGGTCCCTGTGGCCTCCCCATGTAGACAGACAGCACAGGGCGCTTGGGGGCGGCCACTTGGGTTCTGACTTTGGATAAACCTGTCTGTTTTGTGGCTGTTGAAGTGGTTTTGTTGCATGCTGCCTGTGTGCTCTACAAACTGCTGTGTAGGGAAGGTTATTTTTTGCACTGGAATTCTCTTACTTGGAGGATGGAAACCTCCCTGGGCTCCCCGGGAAAGGAACCTGCCCCAGGTGTGGCGACACTGAGGCTGGCTGGTTGGGGGAGAGGGCTGATGTCTAATTATGAGGCTGGCATGAGGCCAGCCAGTGCTTGGTGGGCACACTTGGGTACTGGGGGTTCTTAGGGCTACAGGACAGGTTTGAACCTTTGTATTTAATCCCCTGAAGTGGCCTGGGGGAGGTTCCCAGCTGGTCTCCAAAATCCCTGGGCCCCTAGACTCTCATTTCTTCTTTGGAGATTTTGAAAATAAGCACCAAGGACAGGTAATCATTGCTCCTGGATAACTGAAATGAATGCTGCTCGGAGGCTTTCCAGGTGAAAGGTGTGCTGGCCAAAGCATTTTTGTTTTGCAGGCTGGAAATGTTGCCGCTTCATTTACAAGGCTATTTTAATGTGGGTAAAAGCGGTCCAGGATGTGGTGGTTCTGCCTTCCCAGAAGATAATTTCCAAGTCACTCGTTTATTTATTAATGTTCCTGAGAAGCTAGGAGGGTCAGCTGGCAATATTATCCCTTTTCTCCCTGACACCGTTTCTGGGTGACCCTGCCCCCGCCCCCACCCACCCCCCATGCTGGGATTATGTCCTCTCTGGCTCTCTAACTATTCCCCTACACCTATAGTTATTCTGCAGTGACTGTATTCCCCTTCCCATTCTTCCAGTGTAGAGCTTATCGAATAAACGTGGGCAGCCCAGGTGCAGGGATGCAGAGCTGCTGTGTGAGGAGTTAGAGATGGATTATCCCTCCCAGGAATTGAGTTCCCATACCTGGAAGTTATTACTGGTGGGATTCTAGGCAGTGTGAGGCTAGGAAGGGAGATACTGGAAGTTTCAGGTGAGGGCTTTCAGGGACCCTCAACTGGCCCTGAGTAGGTAGGAATTGGCTCTGCCACTTGGGGTGAGGTAGTCCCTGGAGCGGGAGAGGAAGCTTGATGAGGAGCAGGGAAAATGGAAGACAGGATCTGTTTTTCTGCATTAGTGTTGACAGTAGGTGCAGGAGGGGCTGGGCATCCAGGCCTGGTTTTTCTTGCCTGCCCTCCTTCCCCTGTTCTTCTCTGCCTTCCCTTGGGTGACTGTGTAGTATAGACAGTTTCTAGGCATAATGGGAAGTATGCGACCTTTGGATTTGAAGACAGGCTTTCCTGGAGCAAGTCACTTAACTTTTCTGGGTCTCAATTTGCACATCTGTAAAATGGGCCTGATGGTAATGTTGGTGGAAACATTAATCTTAATATATTTAGCACATACTTAATAGGAATTGTCTGTCCTATTCAGTGCTATTTCCTTTGCAACTAACACTGGGTTTGCACATTTCATTTAAGTATTTCTAAAATTTTAGTCAATAAGTATTAGCATGCAAAAGAGGCTAGACTAGCATGTTGCAGGCTTTCAATAAATTGTAGTTAATATTGGTTGGGAAAAGTCGCCTCATCTTGGTAAGCCTCAGTTTTCTCATCAACAACATGGGAATAAAAACAAGTAATCCTGAGGTGTTATTTCAAGGTTCAAGGGAGTTATCAGATGTTGCTGTCCCTTGTAAGGTGAAAAGGGCTGTAAAGAGGGTCATTATTACCTTGAACACAAGTAATAGAGTGACCTTTGTTCCTCTCTACACCTGGGGAAGCAAACCTCTTCTATGTGTGTTTTAAAAATCGGTTTTAAAAGTTACATTTTATGTTGGATCATACTTGTTTTTAATCATTTAGGCATTTAGGTTATCTAGCTTTTATTAAAATTAATACTGGTATTTAAATCCTTGAATATTTATCTTTGTCTACTTCTTGATTGTTTCCTTAGGATAAAGTCTTAGAAATGGAATTATTAAGTCAAAGAATAGATAGAAATGCCTCCCACCGAAAGCCTATAATAATTTACACTCCCTTAATGATTTTTGAGAGTGCTCGTGAGCACCTATGTCCTCACACCCTTAAAAACATTTTGGTGTCATCATTAAAACAATCTTTGTTATTTGAATAGGCAGGAAAAAATGGTATTTCTTTGTTATTTCCATTTCTTTCCTTGCTAGTGATTGAATATTGTTTTCTGAGTTTAATGGCCAGAAGTGCTTTTCCTTTTGAGTCTTGTCTATTCCTGTCCTTTGACTTCTGACAAGCCCCTGGCAGGATTCTTGGTTGCCTTGTATGGCCTCCCTCTGCTCTGAGAGGCCCCATGTAGGTGGATCTTTGTTCAATGGGCCTCTGCCTTCTGAGAGGTATGGCAGGGAATTCATTAATTATCTACAAGGAATCCTCTCAGCTCTCTCTCCTCTCTCTCCTCCCCTTCCCCCTGCCTCTTCATAAGGGAATCGGATTTAATTCTTAATCCGATAATTATCATAAGGAGGCCTGGTGTATACTAGTACACAGCACTTGGAGAGGTCTTCCGCCCTACTGGGTAGTGGGCAGTGAAAGCACTGTTAGATTCAGGGAAACTGAGGTACACAGTCACAGGCATGGAGGTGGGACTGTCACCGAAGCCGGGCCTTGCCTCAGGGCCCTGACCACCTGCAGTATTGTGCTTGGAGCCCGTGGGCACCTTGGCAGCAAGGCTGACCTGAGCCCCACACATGAGCAGGTGATCCTGAGCCTCATCTCCAGAGAGGAGGGGGAAGCCACAGAACACGACTCGGACGTACAGAAGAACCAATTTATTTTTTGCCTTTTCATTTTTATCACCCTCCTTTTAGATCTGCAGCTCCCTCGTGTATCTTCCAGAGATCCGAGCCGGGCAATATTTTTAGGAACGGTGGAAATTAGCTAGTGAGAATGTGATCAGCCCCAGGCTCGCGTTTCAAAGACTAGAGAACCTTTCTTTGTACTGGCATCTGTAGATATATATATGTCTGTGTGTGCACATTTGTGTATGTCTTGCAAGTGCACACCTGCCCTCATGAGTGTTGTGTGTACGCTATATGTAAATACCCTGTACATGCCTGTGCATTGGAAATGAGTAATGACATGTAAAATGTTTGGAATAGTGCTTGGCACTTCATGTTGGGTTAGACCATATGAAGTGGCTGTTTTTGTAGGTCAAATGTGGGCATATGGTTCAATCTAATAAGTGCTCAATAAGTGCTGACTACCATTATTGTTATTGTGTCTGTTTATTCTGTGTACATGTGTGTATAGTATGTTCTGTGTTT